GTGGAGATGGGAGCCAGATGGTGTGGAGCCTTGTAGGATAAAATGGGGCATTTTGTATTTTAATTTAAATAATGAAATATATATAACACACTTGGCACAGTGCCAGGCACCTGGTAAGTGCTGTATAAATGTTTGCTATTATTATTTATCCTAATAGAAGGATTTTGAGCAGGAGAGTGGTATAATGTGGTTTGTGTTTTTAAACACCCTCTAGCTGTGGGGCAAAGAATGGGTTGCAGGACACAGAGAGGCAGACAAGCAAGGATGCTATGGCACCAGTTCAGGTTAAGATGGTGGTGGGGTCAAGAAGTGAAAAGATTTCAATGGTGTGTAGCAGGGAGACGAGAAAGGACCCAGATTGGAAATGGGAGTGAGGGAGAGAATAGGATGCAGTATAGCTTTAAGGCTTTTGGCTGGGGCAGCTGAGTGAAGGGTGGTACCAGCTCTCAAGGGAAATGGTATTGCAAGGTGGGCAAGAGCATTGGATACTGGGACCACACTGCCTGGATTTGAATCTCAGCGTGGGCACCCTCTAGCTGTGTGACCTCAGGCAAGTTACTTAACCTCTCTGTGCCTGTTTCTGCATCTATACAATAGGGATAATAACAGCACCTATTTCACGGGGTTGTTGTGAGGATTAGAGGGTTTACCAAGTGTTTAAAACACTGCCTGGCATGGGAAACGTCTATCTTGCCATTGCTTCTACAAAGATGGAAAGACTAGGGCATGTTTGGGGAAGGAAGAACAGGTGACCCATTTCAGAGTATAAGGAGCCTCCTTTCTGACCAGTGTGTACCCCTCCTTCCTCAGCACCCTACCCCTAATCCCAACTCATGCCCACACCCAGGGCTTTGGTAATCCCTCCCACGAGGCCCCTTACCTTCTCTCCCCCAGTGCTGAGTCTTAGTGGGGGCAGAAAGGGGTCATAAAGGACCCTCTTCAGCTCCACATCCACCGGGCTCTGCCGCTTCCCCACGGCACACAGACTCCACGCTGCGTTCACCAGTCCCCAGAAGGGAGGCCCTGGGGGCAGGGGCAGGAAAGGGAGTCAGAAATAGGGACTGATCCCAGTGCTGGGGTCTGGTGAGAAGGCTGTGGTCTGGACTCCAGGAGTCCAGGCAAGGAGGGGCTGGAGACCTGGACTCCTGGATCTGAGGAAGGAGGGAGCTGGGACCCAGAACTCTGGGTCCTAGGAGAATATTGGAGGAGTTTCCTAGGACTCCCTAAGACCCCCCCAGGCCTCTCCTTAATCGAACCTATCTTATATTATGTTACTGGGGAAAGAACTACAACTCCCAACAGGCCCCAGGGCTGCCAGCCTACCCATCCATCACCTGTCTGCCCCAAAGCCTATAGGAGTTGTAGTTCTTTCAGGCTCCTGGGCCACAGCTGGATAATGAATGTACTGGGAAGAGGAGTTTCCTGAGCAGGCTGGACGAGGTGGGGATGCGACCACAGAACCTCTGTCTCCCAGCTGCAGCCAAGACCTACCTGCTTTTTTCCCTGCCAACCCACCCAACCCACACGTGCCCTGCCTCCCCTACACTCTTTCCTTCCACTCACTCCCACTCACTACTTGAAATGCGCATACATAATGTCCCTTGGTGAGCTGCTGGGGTTCAGAGGCTGGGCCCCACTCCTGAGGGAGGGAGGAAGGGTCTGGGACTCCAGGGTCCTGGAGGGAGGAGAGGGCTCCTGGGTTTGAGGAAAGAGCCACTGGGCAGCCTGGACTCCTGGGTGCCTGCCCTGGCTGCACCTGGCACGAAGTTTCCCTGGAGATTATCCTTGTAGCTCCACCAGTCCTCCGGGTCAGGTGCGGGTCCAATGTGAGCTGGGGAGAGAGTAGCCTGAACCCCTGTCCTTGGCACCCCCACCCCACCTCCCTCAGGGGCTCCTGCCCCCATCCCCAGGCCTTACCTGCCGCCCCCAGTGCGGCCCACAGAACCAGCGCTCCGGGTTCGCTCAGACAAGCCGCACACCCCATCCCTGGGAGGACTCTGGGCGACCCTTCCCAATGCCCCGGCCCCTCTCACCCAGCTCCTCCCTCCCCTCTTTGTAGGACCCTGTCCCGCTAGGACTTACAGCCTTCCTCCCCTCCCCACGAGGAGTCCCAGTTCCCCGAGCGCCTGGGCAGCCAGGGACTGAGCCCCCAGCCCCAGCCCCCTCCTCTCTTCTCTCCCAGCACCCTGCCTCCCCTCCTTCCTCGCGTCTTTCCCCAGCCCTCCAGTCTCCCCCTGCCTCCTGATCTCCCTGCCTCTCCCTCGGGTTACCTCTTGGTTTCTGACCCACACCCCCCTCCTCGCTGGCTTCTCCGTAAGCTCTCCCGAGCCACCTAACTCCACGTCTCCATCCTGCTTCTCTCACCTCCTCCTCCTCCTTCCTCTGTCCCTCTGTCTGACTCCAGCTTCTCTCTCTCTCCCCACCTCCTCCTCTCCTGCCTCTTCTCTCTGTTTCTCGGTCTCTTCTCTCGTCTCCACTCCCTCCTCCCCCTCCCTCTCATCTCCCTCTTAGTGTTATTTAATTTTTTTGTCGTTGTTACTGGGGGTGGGGGCAGTGAGCACTTCTCGGGCTGGTGTAGGGGGTGGGGTGCCCAGAGGGCAGGATGAGGGGTTGTAGGGGGCTGGTCCCCAGCTCCCTGCTGCTCCTGGTCCTTGGGGGCGGGGTGGCCCGGGCACCCGGGGCCTGGAGCTGGCTGTTCCCCTCCTCCGCAGAAGGGAGAAGGGGGGGGCGCTTAAGGTGGAGCTGGGCGAGTCCTCGAAAGTGTCTGTGTGCAGGGCCGCTGGCCCTGGAGGATCTCAGGTTTCCCAGCTCGTGGGGACCCCAGTTGAAGCCTGCATTAGCGCCTGCAGCCCCTGCCCAGGGCTGCACTCGGGCTTCGGCCTGGGGCTGCCTTAACAGGGCTGGGGGCTCCCCTGGGAGACTTGGGTGCAGTGAAGGCTTCTGACCACGAGGGGGAGGCAGAGACCAGGAGGAGAGAGGACGGAGGTTAGAGAGTTGGAGGTGAGGTCGCAGAATTGCAGAGGCTTGGAAAGTAGACGAGAGCCTGAGATAGAAACGGAGCACGGTGGCAGGAGCGAGACAGAAGAGGGGAGCGGGGGTGGGAAGCGGGGCAGGAGGGAGAGAGACAGAGACACACACACAGATGCAGGCAGACACAGAAGTGATGCACACGGAGAAGAGAGGGATGCAGAGAGACGGAGACAGACAGAAAAAGAGTCGTCCAGAATGAGGGGAAGACAGATGAAGGCAGAGAAAGACCCACAAAGAGACAGACTAGAGACATGTACTTAGAGACAGAAGCAGAGAGACCCAGAGACACACAGAGACCCACCCAGCAGATCAGAGATGGAAGAATAAGATGCCAGGAAGGGAGAGGGTGGGGAGCGAAAGAGACAGAAAAGAGACCCAAAGAAGAGAGACAGAGCAAACAGTAGAGAGAGACAGAGAGACACAGAAACACACACCTAGAGCAAGGGACAGAGATAGGAGGCAGAGGAAGGGGCTGACACACATGCACATCCATAAATAGGGACACTCGCAAAGAGAAAGGTGTTTCGACAGAGAGCAGGTGGCAGAGACAGACAGACCAAGGAGAGGGAGAGAGACCCGGAAACAGACCAACTAACCAACAGGGAGAGACAAAAAGGGTGTCAGGAAGACAGGGGAATTCAAAGATAGGACACTGGAAATGGATATTCAAGGACTGAGAGCTGGGGGAGACAGAGAAAACACAAGAGAGCCGGCTATGTATTAATTATCCATTGCAGCATAAGCAACTCCCCTAAAGCTTCAAGCAGCAGACATTTACTGTCTTGCAGTTTCTGACAGTTAGGAATTTTGGAGCCGTTTAGCTGGGCATTCCTGGCTCAGGGTCTCCCATGAGGGTGCTGTTGGCCAGGACTGAGGCTTGCCCAGAGCTGCAAGATTACTCCCAAGCTCACCTACCCGCTGGCTGGCAGGAGGCCTCAGCACCTCACCAGTGCCGCTTGCCTGTGCTTGCATGGCTGCTGCCTTCCCCCAGAGTGAGTGATTGGAGAGAGAGAGAGAGAGGGCAGTTTCTTACACAGACAGTCAGCCTTGAAAATAAAACAACCAGGTATTTTACCAGCAAAAGGGGTTTATTCAGTAATGGCTGAGGAGTTGCAATCTGGGATAGGCAAGACCAAGGAACAGAGAGAGAAGTGACTCACCTAAATGTGAGCTGAATGGCACCTCCCCTCAACATAAAACACAATAAAAAGATACCTCTGGATATGTCCACACAACTGAATGGATCCTTATTTGGCAAAAGGCTCTCTGCAGATGTAATTAGCTGAATGATCTTGAGATGAGGCCACCCTGCATTACCTGGGGCCTAAACCCAGTGACAAATGAACCCATAAGAGAAGGGCAGGGGGAGGTCTGAGACAGAGGAGACAGGGCTGTGAAGACAGAGGCAGAGATGGGAGTGATGTGACCACAAGCCTAGGAGGCCGGGAGCCAGAAGAGGCAGGTTGCATCCTTCCCGGGAGCCAACACCTTGATTTTGGACTTCTGGCCTCCAGAACTGTGAGAGAATGAATTTCTGATGTTTTAAGGCATGCAGTTGGTGGTGTTTGTTTTTGGCAACTGACCCTGAAGGTGGTTCTGTGAGAAAGGCAGGGATCTTCAGAAGCAGAGACAATGAAGGAGCCAGAGACACACGGAGGGAGGGACAGAGGGGTTGATAATGATCTACCTACAGTTCTGTGCTCCTCCCTCCAGAAAGCCCCCCTCCCTCCCCCAGCCTGGGTCAGCGCCTGCCTGGCGCATTGCCAGTGCTCTGTGCTACCTCCATTTCAGCACAAATTTCATTAGGAGAGGGGCTGTGTCTCTGTGTGTGTCCTCCTTCGAGGGCCCAGGCCTGGCCCATCTGTGGGTCCCCAGCATTGCTCTGCACAGAGCACCTGGGGGTCCTCAGGAGAGTGATCAAGCACAACTGAATGAAACCATGCTTCGGACCCCTGCTAGAGATTCCAGTCCCTCCTGTCTGCCTGAGTGACACTGGGATTTCCTGCAAGGCCCAGAAAGGGCCTCACCGCCTCAAGGAAGTCTTCCCTGACCTGTGCTGCCTCCATTATTACACATGACACCAGGTGTGACTGTAGCTAGTTCTCTCCTGCTCTCTTAGACTGGCAGGCCCTCCAGGAAAAGTCCTGCATCTAACTCAGGTCCCTGTCCCAGCATTTCCCAGAGAGATGTCAGGAGAATATGTTGAATGGACAAATGAGTGAGTGAATGACTTTAAAACACAGAGATTGTGACATTTCTAAATGAGTGAGAGAGAAAAAAAAATGCCTGTATGGTGCTTAAGAGGAAGGCTTCCCAGTATATGTGACATTTCCTGACTATCTGTTCCTATAATCTGGGTCTCAGCTCAGAACTCCTCCCCTCCCGTCAGTACTGTCCCCTCCCATCAGTTTTGTTCCCTCCCATCAGTACTGTCCCCCCCAGCTTCTTGGCTCCCTCCAGTCTACCCTCCACAGACCCCCAAGTGTCTTCTACACCAAGAGTTCACCCGGCCTCTCCTCCAGTCACCACCATCCCACAGCCCCCCAGGGCCCCTGGCACAGTCCCTGCCCCTTAGCCTCTCTTGCCATGACGGAATCCTTCTTCTGTCCTTCACAGCCTATCTGAAACTCTACTTCCTCTGAGAGAAGTTGCCTGACCTCCAGGCTGGGTTCACCGCCTTCTCTGGGCTCTCCCAGTGAGCTGAGCCCCCTCAATGATTGTCCATATCACTACTTTTCCCACACAGAGGGCTAACTCTGCCCTCTCCTGCTCATAGACCTTCCATGGCTCCCCAGTGCCCCCAGGAAAAAAACCCCAGTCCTTAGCCTGGCCTTAGAGGCCCATACACTCTGCTACCACAGACTCATCTCTCTCCTCTTCCCACACCAGGCCCTCGGCCTCCAGACCTTTGCATAAACTGTTGTCTCTAACTGGAGTTTTCTTTCCTCCTTCTGTTCTGGGCAAATTCTTACTCAGACTCTTATGTACTTGAGGAGTCTGCTCTTCCAGGAAGCTGTCGGCAAAGCTGAGGTGGACAGGGAACTCCTCTGAGCTCTGGAGGCCACCTGTGCCACTTCCATTATAGCGCCCAGACTGGGCTCGGCGCCCGGAGGCGGAGGGAACGGTCGGCTGGAGGTGGGTCCCAGATGTGGATTTTACGCCTATTCGTCTCGGGTGCTGGGAACAAAGTTTGGGTCATAAGGAACATATGGGGCTTGCCCCACTCCTCACTTTCATCTCTTACCTCCCTGGCCCCTGAGTGGGAGGCAGCGGGGCCAGGGCTCTCCAGGCCTACGTGGTTCCCACAGCCCCTCTTGGCCTCCATAACCCTCTGCTGGCTCTCAACTCCCACTCCTTTGGGGAGCCCACAAAATCCTCCTGATCTGTGTTCTCACCTTCTGAGCTCTCCTCTCCTGGGGGAGGTGTGGATACTGGGCCTTTAAATGATAACAGCAAACTCAAATGGCTCTTACTCTGTGCCGGGCACTGTTCTAAGCCCGTCACAGACACATATTAACTCATTGAATCCTCATAACACGCCCTGCAAGTCACTTCCTATTTTCAGCATCATTCCCATTTTACAAATGAGAAAACCGAAGGACAGGAAACCCAGGCAGTCTGGCTCCAGCGGCCACGCTCCTCATGAATATGGCCTCTGGAGCAGGGCTGTCCAGTAGAACTTTCTGCAAAAGAGGAAATGTTCTACATCTGCTCTGCCTAGTGTGCTAGTCTCCAGCTGCTTGAAAGGTGGCTAATGCAAATGAGGAGCTGAATTGTAAACTTTATTTCACCTTAATTAATTTAAATGTGAATAGTCCAGTGTGGCTAATAGCTACTGTATTGGATGGCTCAGATCTAAGAACTAACTTTGAATGCTGGCTGCTTGCTGTGTGGCAATTGCTAAGACTCCTCACCTCTCTGAGTTTTGTCACTGAAGAGGTAGTTAAGGATTCTGGCCAGACCCCAACACACCTGGGTTTGAATCTCTGCCCTGGCCTCAAGGTAAGCCCCCTGGGAGCTTTAATTTCTTCATCTGTGTAACAGGGATCATAATAGGTCCTGCCTATTTATTAAGTGCCTATTATGTTCTAGCAGCTGCAGTTACAGCATCGAGCAAAAAAGTCGCAAATCCAATGTCAGGGCAGCAGGAGTTGGGGTGGAATGTCATGGCCAGACTTCAACTACCTGTACTTTTCAATCTGAGCCCCTTTTCCTGGAAATGCCAAAAGGCTGCTCTATCTAGCTCCTCATGATGTCATAATACTCTGAGTTCTGATTGGCTGAGGGCCTGCCATAAAACTGGGTTAGCTAATTTTCCCAAGTATGGTTTATTTTCTCTCTCCTTTAAATCAAAACACTCATTTAGTTAGATCCAAGACAGCCCAGCATTAACGCCTATAATTTTCACACTCTCTTGAAGCTAGGTGTGGTCATATTACAAATTATGGCCAATAAAATAAGAACAGAATGATTGTGTAGCAGCTTTTGGAAAACATCCCTATAAGTCTTTTTTCTTTGCCTTCTTCCACCCTGCTGCATGGATACAGATATGGCTGGAGAGCTAGCTGCCATCTTGGACCACAAGGACAATGACCATTCTAAGGATGGTGGAGAAGAAAGCTTGATGGCCTATCTCCAGACCTCTTTTATGAAAGAGAATAAATTTCCGTCTTGTTTAGGCCATTGTTATTTGGGATGTACTTGGACTCCTAATAATACAGATGCTTGAGGCACCACTTCAGGTTCAGCAGGGCTTCACGTTAGACCATTCATTGACCAATTTTTCAACAACTATTTATTGAGCGTATATCACGTGTCATGCACCTTTCTAGATGCAGGGGATACAGCTCTGATCAAATTAAAATCCCTACTCCCATGGAGTTCACGTTCCAGTGGAAGAGACAGAAATAGTAAACAAAAGGACAAGTATTTGGTATATGAGGTGGCCATAAGTTCTAAAAAGAAAAATAAATCTGGGCAAAGAAATGAGAAGGTATTTTTTTTGAATTGCGGAATCTACTCAAACCCAGTGTTTAATTTTAATGCACCACTATATTTATCCAAGCCAGAATGTAGTGCCTCTGTCATCTTTCTATATAACTTAGCTTAAAATGCTCTTTAAGATTCTCAAATTAAAAGCAAGATTTAGTGTCCTAAAGTACATGAAGTTCTCCCTGATTTTCTCTTTCTTTTTTAAAATTGTTTCCTTTATATACAGAAACTAAGGTGAAAAGAAATTATGCACACTGTTTCATGAAACAATCTACCTTATAATGTATGCCTTTCTAATTATACTGTGTCTGCTTATTACTTGGGGGAAAAGAATATTATTACACAAGGGTGAGACCATTCAGTGTTCTCGCTCTCTCTGTCCCCACCACAGTGAGCAAGGATGCCATGGGTTGCAGTTGGTGCAGTGACAAGATGGCAGATGCCTCTCAGCCTGTGTCCTTGACTGTGGAAAACTGCCACTTGCTCGCTTGCATGGGACATGTACATGAGCAAGAAATCAACTTTCATTGTGTCACACCAACAGAGCTAGCCTAATGGAAGGACTCAACGCAGAGATCACCCATATTTGAAATTGTATTTTTGATGGGGGGTGCTGGGGGCAGAGGCCAGGGTGGTAAGGAAGGGCCTGGTCCATGACAACCTCCCATTGCATACTTACTGCTTCCTACCTTTTTAGCCCCACTCCTCTTTCCTACAGATACACAACTGTTGGATGGGAATGGAATTCCGCTTAGCATCAAGTGATATCGTACCACTCTGTGGCTCCCAATCGGCTCTTCTCTCAGGAAAGGATTTCGCTGCACTTTAAGACCAGATGAACCTCAGTCAGATCCCCCTTCGGATATTCACTCAAAGTCCCTCTATTTCTTTCCCAGAGACCATCCTAAGCCTCATCAGGAATAGAAAGTTCCTAAATACGGAACTTTGTGGAAATCTGGTGCGTATGTCTTTTCCTGTGGCGTATGTCCCGCCTGTTTTAGTCACTCATCCCACTGGCTTTTGGCCAATCGTCAGGCAACATAAATCTGACTAGTGCCAGTGACGTCATTCCAGCTTTTCCCCTGGATTGGCCACTTTGTCAGGGAGCGGAGCCTTACTTCCGCTCTGAGGATTTACTGGAGGCCTTCATTTGCCGCTCAGAGACCCTCTCGAGCACTCATCAGAGGTCTGCAGCCGAAATACCCAAGATTTTAGACTTTATTGAGGGGACTTAGCCGCATGGGTCACAGGCTAAAGGTCCTGGCCAGCAGCCCAGAGTCCTGCCTGCAGGTGGCCGCCTTTAGCTAAAGGTGCCTCGGGCCTGCGTGGTGCTGGCGCGTGCCAGTGACGTCAGGGAGGGCGCGGCGTCGGCTACGTCACCAAGGGATGCCCCGTCGAGGTAGAAGTCTCAGCTCCCTGTCGCTTCCAGGTCCCTTTCTTGGCCGTCGAGGCTGCCCAGTGCTCGGGCTCGGTGCTGGGGGTCGGAGGCCGGAGGCCGGAGGCCGCGGCAGCCCCCAGCGCGCGCCTCCTGCTGCAGCCGCCGCAGTGGCCGGGCCCAGTGCGGCCTCCAGGGCAGCGCGAGGCCGTGGCGGTCGAGGACCAGGCGTGCGGGGTCAGGGCCCCCGGCCGCGTTGCCCAGCAGCAGGTAGTCAGTGCTGGGCCGCAGGCGCAAGCAACCACAGGCCAGGTCAGCGCGGGGCACCCAGGCATCCTGGCTGCCGCGGGGCACAGGCTGCACCCGCTGCTTGTACACGGCCAGCACGCGCACTGCCAGCCGCTGCCACGCGGAGCCTGCCGCCTCGGAGGCCAGCACCTGCGCGCGGAGAACTGAGGGGAGGGGAGATGTCAGGCCTGGGTGGTGGGGAGCCAGTGGGGTCAGACCTGGTGGGAGAGGGCTCTCGAGACGGGCTTGGGGGATCCCTTCAGGAAGGCGAGAGACCATGAACCTTCAGGGCAAGAGATGTGGGTGCCCAGCTGTGTGTTGAGATGGTTTGGCCTGCTGGCAGAGACATGGTCAGGGCAAGGAGGGTGGGGTTTATGGAATATGAGGTGGGGTTCAGTGATTATTACTGGGAAGGGCAGGGTCTACAGGGTCTCCTCTGAAGGAGGTGGGGGAGGCCAAGCAGGGAGAGGGAGCCAGGAGCCTGGAATATTCCAGATGGGATGCTTTAGGGGTCATATCAGAAGCAGTGGATGAAGGAATTATTTAAAGGGGGCACTAGGGGACTATACAGTGGGTGGGGCTGGGAACAGGGCAAAAGAGGCAGGTCCAGGGTCTCTAATGTCGCAGGGTCAGAAGGTGTCAGGAGCAGAGCACTTGGAAAAGAGGGGTATTGCTAGGGGAGAGGCTGTGGGATGAATTTGGCGGCCAGAAGGAGGTCAGAACCTGGAACCTGAGGCTTGGGATCATACTAGAGGTGATTCAGAAACATGTACTTTCTGAGAAGTATTGAGGGCAGGACTGGTTAGCAAGCTGGGTCTATGGGGCAGAAGATCCCTGTGGGATGTGGGGGGAAGAAGATTCCATCTTCCAGGTAGTTGGACACAGTGGCCTGATGATTATCTTCGGGAAAGACAGCCTGGGGTCCTAAACCACTGAGGGAAGTAACAGGTGCTGATCTGAACTCCAGAGTGTGTTAAGAGCTGGGTTTCCTGGGGTCACGGGGCTGGTGTTGGTGTGAACTGGAATGGACTGCTGGGGGAGGAAACTGGGGGAGGAGTCTCTGTGGGAATGGGGCTAAGGTTCAGATATCTGAGACCCTGAAGGGAGGCAGAACAGGGCCAGGGTCCATTCGGTTCAACCAGTTCCCCTTTTCCCTCCATTCCCAGGAGGCCACCTCCCTCCCCCGCAGATGTCAGGATGAAGGAGATAGTGAAACCCTTCAAGGCCAAGAACATGGGGAACTAGGGGACACAGGAAGGTAGGGAACACCCCGCTCCACTCTCCATCCCTCCCCCATGTGTCTTCTGTCCTCTTTGACCCTAGATCAGGAAGGGCCCTTTAGAGTCCAGGATGCCTCCCCATTTAAGATGAGAAAACTGAAGGCCACAGGAGGTGGCCTATCATCAGGCACCTGTGCCGCACTCACCGTAGTCCTGCTGGCAGTACCTCTGAAGGCTCATGTGGACCCTGGTGTCCGAGATATTGCAGTAGTTTTGACACTGAGGGTCTGGGGAGGGTCAGGCTGTCTGCACTGGGCTCCTGAGGCCTGGACCACAGCATTCAGCCCTTGCCCTCCCCACATTCCATGCTGGTGGACAGCTGGGGTCCCTGAACCCTTGGGACCGGGCTCAGTGGGCCACCCTTGCATCCTCACCTGGGGGCCCAGCCAGCCCATTCCCAATCCCTCTCGCTGCCTGGGATCCCCACGCCACCCTGTCTTACCTGAGCTGTAAACACCAGGGGTGGTAGCCAGGGTGGTCTCGGCCTCTGGAATTCCTGTGAGAGACCAAAGGAGAAGTTGAAGCTCCACCTCCTCCTCCCAGACAAGGAATCCAGGCATTCAGACTGCACGCATTTTTTTCCCTTAAGGCCCAAGAGTACAAGCACCCTTTGCCCTCCTCCCCCAGGACCTGGAGTCCTGGCCCCTAGCCCATTCTTCAGCAGTCCCAGGAATTGGGGTCGTCCCCATCCCCCTCCTTCTGGGGACCCAGGAATCCAGGCTCCCAGCCTCTTTCTTCCCAAGACTAAGGAGACTGGAATTTGAGTCCCCATCTTCCTGGAGCCTTTAGCTCCATCCCCAGGAACACAGCCCTCATCACCCTTGTCCACTGGTGATCTGAGATGTCTCCTTCCGCCCCCACTTAGGACTTGTGGCCCTGCCCTTCAGGACTCACGTTGGCAGGGCATCCTGGGGGAGCGGCTCTGCTGGTAGCCAGGACCACAGCGGTTGCACGTCAGGCCAGTCACCCCTAACTTGCAGAGGCACTGCCCACTGGTCTGGTTGCAGGTGCCCCCTGTTGCCCCAATAGGGTGGCACTGGCAGGCTGTATGAGGAGAGGAGCTGAGGATGTGGGCTTTGGAGCCCCAGATGCTCCCTCCCAATTCCCCATCCCCTCCTCCCTAAGCCCAGGAGTCTGGCCCTGGCGCCTTTCCTCCTGTGCCAGGCTCCAGGCTGCACTCACCCCTGCAGGCCTTGCGGCTGGTGATGGGCTGGCTGGGATCCCTCCAGAACCCTGGCTGGCAGTAGTGGCAGTGCCGCCCAGCTGTGTGGTGGCGGCACCTCTCGCAAACACCCCCACTCCGGCCACCCGACAGCCTGAACAGCTCGGAGTTGAACCTGCAGCGGCGGGCGTGCTGGTTGCAGGAGCAGGCTAGAGCAGGGTGGGGGGGCGCGTCAGGCCTGGCCTTCCTCCCCACTGCCCTCTGGGACGGAAATCAAGTGCGGGTTCAGTGTAAAAGAGGCTCTCTGGGGCCCCTGGGTGACCCTGGGGCCCAGCACTTCTTCACTCTCATCTGTAAGTGGGTGCACCGGGCTGGAGCTGGGTAAGCCCAAAGACTGATGAGCCTCCAGAGCATCTGCATGGAATGGGGCCTTAAAGAAGGGTGGGCTTGGGCATCAGTCCCGTGTGTTCGTGTCCCACTGAGCCCTTTGGGCAAGTGACTGCTCCTCTCCATAGCTCAGTTTCCTTTGCTGTAGAATGATAGTTACAATGTCTACTTTGCATGTTTTAAATAAAACCAAGCAGATATAAAGTTGTTAACTCAGGGCCTGACAGAGTGTGTATGTGCCCATGTCAAGCTTCCACATGCCAGGTGCCATGTGCTATGCCAAGTGCTTGGCGTGTTCATTCCCATGGTAGCTCTGAAGCTGGTGCTCTCATCATCCCCGTTTTACACATGATAAAACAGGCACAGAGAGGTGAAGTCAGCTGCCCAAGGTAACACAGCTGAGGGGGCGGTCAGAGGCAGGACTGGAACCCAGGCCTGGCTCCAGAGTCTGGGCTCTTAGCAACCACATGCCAGTGTCTCCCACGCAGCTCACAGCGGGCACATTTTCCTAGGGAGTATCTATCAGTGGGGCAGTAGCTCTGGTACCTCACTGCTTCTCAGAATTACCAGGAAATGTTTGGAAAGAATAACACAGATTCCAGGTCCTGCCCCCAGGGTCTCAGCTAGGCCCAGGGATCTGTGCTTCTAGCAACCATCCCAGAGTGAGAAGCAGTCGTAGGAGGTTCAGGGGCCATTCTCTGGAGAGATTTACGGAGTTTTCGACTCCAAGACATTTGAGAGGCTGGCCTGGGAGGTCCTGAGAGCACAGACCAGTAGTGGGAAGGGCAGGGAGCTGAGACAGCTCTGTGTTCTTGGGAAAATGACTCCTACTTCTGAGCCTGGGTTTCCTCCCCTGCGGTGGGGGTCTCAGTCCCTCTCCCCAGAGTTTTTGTGAGCACTAGAGCTGGCGATGCTATTCAGATTAGCAGTGGGTGGAGTCAGATTTTGGATTATTTCTGACCTAAGAGCAATCACTTCACCTCACTTCCCTCTGGAAACCTCAGATGGCAGGGTGGGGTAAGGCCCGCAGCTCTGCCACAGGGGTTAGTGTCACCCTGTCTGCCCAGACCCTTCTCCCTCACAGCACCGTCGGTCTCTTACCCAGGTTCAGAGGACAGTGCCTGGCGCAACCTGGGGCCATGCGTGATCCTCAGGGGGACAGCCGCCCCAGCTCCCAGGCCCTGCCCAGGCCCGGATGAACACCACCCCACCCCCAGGCACCGGGAGTCTCCGCTCTTCCCTTCAGGGGCATCAGATCTGGCTGCTGAGAATGGACCAACTGCCCATAGGCCTTGAGGGGGTGGGGGCAGAGGGTCAAGGAAGACCCCAGAAGAGATGATAACAGAACTAGAGGGGGAAGGGCGCCAACAATGCAGGAGGTGGAAAGAGGAGGTCCTGGCCACGCACAGAACTCCTAGCAAGGGATGCAGGCTGGAGATGGGAGGAGGGCCATCTCTGAGGGGCGGCTGGAGGGAAGGGGAAAGGCCCAGGCTTTGGACACGCCAGCCTGGAAGCATCGTGGAGGGGCAGGGGCTCCGCGTGGGGCCTGGGGAGCACTGCCCCCGCTGGACGGCCCTGTGGGTGGGCCAGCTTCGAGGAAGGCCTGTCTCCCTGAGTCCCGTGCCAGGGCTGCCCCTTGCTGGCAGTAAGACTCGGGGCAGGGACACATCCTGGGACCTCACGTTCCTCACGTGGGGAGAACCGTAACATCGGCAACGCCCAGGAAGCTCTCCCTTTGTGCCAGGTACCCCATTAGCCTCTATTCAAAAGAGTTTATGTATTTAACTCATGAGCTGTTACCACAGCCTATAAAGGAAGTGCTGTTACTAATCTCCACTTTACAGGTGAGAAAATGGAGGCACAGAGAGGCTGGGTCACTTGCCTGGGGTCAGACAGCCAATAAGCAGAGGAGCTGAGATTTGAGCCGAGGCAGTCCCCAGTGTGACGCCCTAGTGTGACAGCAGCCCCTGACAGGAGCTTGGAGGGGACCAGCCAAGACCCCAGAGCTCAGTGACTGGAGCTCAGATCCTGGCCCTGCCGCTTACTGGCTGTGTGTCCCTGTTCAAGGGACTTCCCAGCGCCAGCCTCATCTCCTCATCTGGAACATGGGCCACGTGATGATACCTGCCTGGCCCACAGCGGGCGATTGATAAACGTGGGTTTAGTCTGACATACGGTCCATCTGATGAAGCAGGAGAGGTGCACCTGCCTCGTTTCCCTACACCCATTCGAGAAATATTACCTGAGCACCTGCCACAAGCCAGGCCCTGGGCTAGGTGCTCAGGAAATGTTACGTCATCATCGTCATCATCGTGGCAGAATGTCGGGCAGCCCCTGCTGAACGGGTCAGCCGCTGGAAGTCTGGGCATGGCGGAGATGTGGAGGCAGGTGGAGAATGGGTGGGAGGCTATTGGGGGAGGCAAAGGGTGGGCGGCGAACAGTGGGGAAGACGCAGGGAGCAGGCCGCTCTGGAGAGGAGAGAGCATCCCGCCCCTCAGGGACGGGACCAGCTGCTGGGGAGCCGTGGGCCTGGCGGCGGGGGCGGGTGGGGAGGGCGGGGCCCCGGACTCACGCAGGCAAGGGTGGGGGTGCCTGGGCGTGGCGGGCCGCCAAGGCCGGTCTCGGTGGGACGGGCGGCAGCTCTCGCACCCCGGGCCGGTGGTGTGGTGGCGGCAGCGGCAGCGGGGGGGCCGGGCCCGGGCAGCGCAGCGGGCTGCGTGGCCGTGGCACTGGCAGCGGCCTCTCACTGCAGCTGCTGCCAGCCCTGCCCAGCCCGCGAACTCCACGCGGAGGTGACTGGCCACCACGGTGGCCCTGGGGGATGGTGGGGCTCGGAAGGTCACCCTCTTGGGCCCCCCCAAGGCCCTGGGCCACGTGGGTCTGCGCCACAGTGATCTCCAGGGACCGCTGGCGGCCCAGGCGGCAGACAGGACCAGGGCCGGGGATCCCGGGGTACAGAAGCCCAGGTTGACAGACGTCAGGAGGAAGGAGCCACCCAGGGCCAGGGTCAGACTGCCACTGCAGGTGGCCCGGGGGCCGAGTTCTGTCCCCGGGGAAAGGGCACAGGCCTGGGGGCAGGAGTCTGCCATGCCAGCCAGCTGGGTCACGGGTGGGAGGCAGAAGCGGGGGCGGCCCCCCGGGTGGTAGCATGGGTCTGCTGTGGCCTGGCTCAGGAGGAGCAGGAGGGCAAAGGTCACAGGCATGGTCCCAACAGAGGCGAGTACCTGGGGGAGGAGAGCAGTGGTGGAGCTGAGGGCCCCAGGCCGCCCCTCAGGCTCCCGGGGAGCCCCAGCGTGCCTCCCGCCGCTCTGCCCAAGCCCCTTCCCTGGCTTCTTCTAAGCGAGGAAAATAGTTCCATCTGGGGAGAATTACTGTTTACATAACCCAAAGGGGAAAGAACGCAAGCAAAATCGAGAATTTTGCCTGAACTAATCCGTAGCTTAACACCCCAGAGCTATCCGTCAGTGTCGAGGGGCAGGGGCCCCGGGGAGAGGGCTGGGGGGCAGATGGGGAAGCCCGGAGAGGGCGTGGGGTGGGGGGAGCAGGGCTGGGCAGGGGAGGCGGGTTTAGAGGCACGGGAGGCTGAGACAAAGAAATAGAGAAAGGAATAGAGGCACAGACAGCAAGGACAGACAGACAGACAGGAGGAGACTGGAGTGGAGAGGAGGGGGCTCCACACTGCCAGGTGTGGAGGAGGAGCCAGGGCGGGAAGAGAACGGACACAGGGAGGGGGGCCGGGAGGCCCAGACTGACAGCAGTTGGCCGGGCACCCAGAGTCCAGAGGCAGTGGGGGACGGGGTCCCTGAGAGCCTGGGGGTTGGGACAGGCAGGCAGGCGGGTGGGCTCAGACACACCCAGGGAGAGAGAGCAGACCGCCTGCCAGGCCTGGCCAGTGGGGCGGGGTGGGCCTGGCCGCGGCGGGGGATCAGAAGCGGAGGCCAGGCCCTGGGCCCACGGGGATCAGAGCAGAGGCCCTTTCCCATGTGGGGCCCTAACCTTGTTCTCCACACCCAGGGCACGGAAGGGGATTATCGCCAAACACCAGGCTGCCCTGCCACCCACCCCCAGGCTCTGCCCACCCTTAACCCTTTCCCACCCAGGCACAGAGCCCAGAAAACTGAGGTAGGAACATGATGGGCATGCCTGGGGGCTGGAAGCCTGGGTCCTTCTGGGTCAGGAAAGTGGTGCAGAAGCCCTGTTGGGAGTTGGGAAGGCAGGTGCCTGGGCCCTGTGCTCAGATTTGCTAGGGCTTTCTGGTAATCGCAGCCCCCTGCCTGCCTCCTGAGGCCTCAGGGTCTAGAGATCAGAGCCCCCACATTCTCCACCCATCCTAAGGTCCCCGGACTAGATGGGGGAACAGATGTTGGGGGTAGCAGGTACTAAGGGTGGAGAGAGACAGGGCAGGCCAGATGCCGGGGCCACTCTAGGTACCAGAAGTCCAGACCCCTGGGGTGGCAGGAGCTAGGAAGGACTTGGTGCTGAAACACACACCCCATGCCTCAATTTCCCCCTCCAGGCCCGGCAGCCCCTAGTGAGGAACTCACTCAGGATTAGGGCCCTGAAGCTTTTCTGGGCCCCATTGGCCCCTGGCTCTGAATTGGGACCTGGGCTTGCACCCAGGCTGGGAGTCTGTGAGGCATCATGTGGGTCACAGTGTCTTCCAGACTGATTTCACAGCCTCCCGTGTCCCCACAGCAGTTGCCACGTGCAAAGACCGCCTCCCCTGCCCCAGAAGACGGGCAGCACCCTTCACCCTTCCCTGGAGTCTGGCGCCATTTTGTGTTCTTGCGGCAGCATTTGCTCTCTCTGTGGGCACCAGCCCTGCTAAGGACCGAGCCCCCATCCTCCATCTCTCCTTTCTTGCCTGGGTGGTTGACAGGGTGCCAGCTTGTAACCCTTAGCACCTTGGGCAGTCAGGCTGTGCATCCCTGAGTGTTCCTGGGGGAGCCAGAAACCAGCCCTAGCCCATCTGGGACCCCAGATATCCGGTCCCCCAGCCCATACCCCTTCTGGGAACTTTAGCCCACACCCCCAGCCCCGTTTTAAGGAGCACAGTCTAGCTATGCCGCCAGCAGACCTATAGTCAGGCCTGGGCGGTGTGGGGGTCCATCTGGGACCCAGTCCCCTTTTCTCCGACTTTTTGCACACACCCCACCCTTCGCCCCTGACGGCCAAACCTGTGCCCAAGAGACAGCGTCCTCTGCAGGTAGTTCCTCACATGCTCTGCCCTCCTGCAGGAGCCTGGCGCCGGCGTGGGCTCTCAGGAGTGAATGCCAGACTGGCTGTTCTCAGGCCCCAGGCTAGTGGGGGTTCTGGGCGGGAGCTCAAAGCAGAGCCCGCAGAATCCAACACCACCACCACTCCCCCAACCCCCGCCGCCCCAGGCCCCTCACCAACTGCAGCCACACTCTGCCCGCAGGGACCCCCGCCAGCCACGCCACCCCGGACCTGTGGGATGTTAGCACCCGTGCCCCAGGGGGTTCCAAAGCCACAGGGCCCCAAGCAGGCTGGCCCAGGAGACTCAAGGCAGGTAGGATGGAGCAGCGGCCAGGGTCCCTGCTTCACCCACACTCAGACCCCTGCCACCGACTCCCAGGGCAGCAGGCGCGGCTCAACCCTGCCACGTGGTGGCTACAGTCAGGGAAGGGGCTGACCTTGCAGGCAGCGGTCAGGGCTGCTCACTCTCACGGAGGTGGGATGTTGGCCACTGGCTGTGTGACCCCAAGCCAGCCCCTCCTCCCCAGTGGGACCTTCTGTCTGCTGTGCTTTCACTGAATGTTAAGGTCGGTTGCTTTCAAGTCCTAAAAATTGGTGCTCTTGGAAGGATCAGACCAGCTACGGGAAAGCCAAAGTCTTGGGCTGCTTTCTAGGCTGGTGGGAAGGAGGTGGAGGAGATGGGAAGGCCTGGGATCTCAGGGTTCTGGCAGCCGGAGAGAGAAAGTGGGGACCCCAAGGGGGCAGAGCTCAAATCCAGCGTCCCCCATGGCCATTTTCCTGCATGGCCTCATTGCTTCAGTTGTGAAACTTCCGTGCAACTGTTAGTGACAACTCTGTTACAGACCCGGATGATTTTGGCTAGAAAAATAACATTCCCCTCACTTCCCCGTGAGAAAAGCCCAAAGGCCTCGGGAGGATGGGGCATGGTGTGCGCTGCTGTGGCCCTGCGTGCCCTTACTGCGGTGCATTTGGGGGCCCTCCACCGGGGACTGGCCCTGGGTCACAGGAGGGCACAGCAAGGCAATCGTGACTCTGGTGCCGGGTGACCCTCATGCGCCATGGTGGAGGGCAGGGCCCGGCGGGAACCACGACAGGATTTGAAAATAAGCTGTGAGGAGGAGTTAGCTGCGAGAGAAGGCGCCCCCCACATCAGAGGCGGGCAGGCAGTGTGAGAGACGGGGTACCCGTTGCGACCTTCCCTCCACGGGTCCACGCAGTGGGTACTCACTGAGCTCCGGCCGGGCGCAGCCACTCTGCCAGAGACAAAGCCACCCGCCCTGGCCAGGCTCACCACCGGAGAGGAGGGGTCACTACAGAAACCCCACAAGTAACCCTTCTGGAGAACGGCGGAAGGTGGCAGGTGCTCTGGAGCAAAAGCAAGTCGGGGGTGGATGCAGGGGGTGGGGGTCTGCAGTGGACATTTGGGCTGAGGTCTGAAGGAGGCCCCACAAGCATCGGGCATCGGGCGGCAGTGGCCGCGGCAGGGGCAATGGCCAGTGCAAAGGCTGGTTTTGCTGTTGGAGTAAATCCAAGAAGAAGGTTCAGGTCTCACTTTACTCCCCCGCCCCCACCCCCCACCTGGGGACACGAAGTTTCTTAAGCTAATGTCGCTGGAGCGCAGCTTGCTTCCTCACTTTTGTTCTTAAAAGCCCGAGCTGCCTGAAGTGATTAGCACCCTGGAGGTGCTTTGGGGAGAGGGAGGCTGGGAGCAGCTGGAGCCGGGCGGAACCATCCCTAGGCTGGGCAGGGGGCTTTTTGGTGGTGGTGGGCTTTTCTGGAGTACGGAGTACCTTGGCCTTCACAGTGCACCGGAGAGGAGGCAGGGCCTCCCAGGGGCCCGGCTCAGGGGGCTCAGCTGCGTGGGACCCACAGTTCTGGGCTCCCGGAGATTTTTTTATCCCTCCTACCTTGGTGACCCAGAAATAACAGAGGCCCCATGAGGCAAGGCGGGTCACACCCCACGTGTAACTGGACACAGGGTGTGCGTCAGGGTGCTTCCCTCAGGACATTCTTGGAAAATCCAGGACGGTAATTGAGAGCCCAGATGCCTACACCATGCTGCCTGGGTGCAAATTCAGCCTCCACCTCTTTCCTAGCTGTGTGACCTAAGCAAATTTCTTAACCTATCTGTGCCTTAGTTTCCTTATCCGTTGTATGGGCATAGAAATGTACCTTCCTCAAGGGAGGTCATGAGGACTAAATGAGGGAAAACAAGCCTATAGTCTCATATCTGAAACTCTTCAGACCAGATGTGTTTCAGAATCTGTGTTGGCACCATCCTGGGGTGCATAGACATTGTATTACATAGCTCCCCAAGTGGCGTCTGGGCAGCTTTCCATAATCAAATGTTAGGTTTCTGCAGCAAAACACACCAGGCATCATGCAAAGATAAGTAAAGGCTACAGTCACATGTCAGTTTAGGCCAGATTTTGTCGCCAGTTGAGTTCAGTCCAGGTTGGGGTTTGCCCCCAATTTTAGGAAAATGGCCCATAAGGAATTGTGGACCAGGACAGTGAGTGCTGAGACCAGTGCCGGGCACACGACAGGAACCACAGAAGCATCAGCCTTGATCATTTCCCAGCGGCTCTTTAGTTGTTTAGGCTGACGAGAAGCCAGGAGAGGGAGCTCTTGTGGCTCAAGGCAGTTTGACAGCAGGACCTGTTCCCTGATTTGCAGAGCCCAACGAAACCTGAAAACATGGGGCACACCCTGTTCCAGTTTATGGAGAAATTAGGCAGCGAGAGCAGAGCGTTAAACCAAGTGGGGAGGATGCAGCTGCACAGGTCACACCATGGAGGTGGCACTGGGTGGTGGGGACCTTTTTCCTGAGCTGGTTCCTCCTTCCCAGCCTCCAGTCCTGCTCAGCTCAGCTCGCCTGCCATGGCTCTGCGGCCTGCTGGGGCTGGCCCGGCGAGCTGGCTGGAGGCCAAAGCTTGAGTCCTCCTCCATAAACGACTGCAGGTAGGCCCAGAGCTGGACAGGTGGT